ACACGTTCAGATCCAGGCCAGCCAATATTACTCCTCTGCTCCTTCTCTCCACTTGGTCCATGAACCCGGACCTCATTGTCCGTCCCCTTTAAGCCTTCTTTTTTTCTTCCTTTCAGCAGCAGCACATACAGGGATAGACTGAGCCTCTCATGGGGCCCTCTAGTGACCCCGGGCCCTCGGGCAGTGCCCAAGTGCCAGAATGGTCAGTCCATCCCAGGTCCGGGGAGACTTGAACACCATCACGAGTTCCAGCATGGCGCCATCCCTCCACCTTCAGGTCGTGGCCTCGTCCTCACTAGAAGCTCCGTCGGCTCATAATTCCGTGATTGGGGACCCACAATCTCCTATCCATACCCCTGTGATGCTGCTGATCCATGGATGAATCCTCCAGACCCGGCAGTCCCATGAATCTCTCCCGTAGATGACCAGGATATTTGCCGGCTCTTACAAGCTCTCCCCACGAAAGGAGACAGTCAGCAGATGCTCGACCAGCTCACAGGGACCTTACTAGGTGAGATTGTAGACCTGCGCTCTACTACCTCAGCGGCATCTGAACAGAGGTTGACGACCTTGGAGGCCCAACAGGAGACCACCTGTATCTCTGCTGTGGAAAGCCTATTATACCGCCAGCACCAGCGCCTGCTTACCCTGCAGCTGCAACAGGAGGATGCGGAGAACAGGAGTAGATGGAATAATGTCAGGCTCAGGGACATTCCAAGGCCACTACGGTAAGGAGCATCTTTCTATTACACAACCCCACTGATATTCACATTGAGCTAGATTGAGTGCATAGAGTTCCTGCATCCGTTCAACCCTTGCAGTTGGAGCCTAGAGACGTGGTATGCAGGGTACGTTTCTATGCAATTAAAGAGGACATTTTTCCAGCAGCATGGTGCGGAGGTCATATTGATTTTCATGCAGCCACTGCAACAGCGGCGCCAGATGCAACCTCTGCTGGACCATCTGCGAGCTCAAGGAGCTACTTACAGGTGGGGCTTTTCCTCCTCCTCCAGCAGCTATTTCAATTCTTGAACTGTGGAGCGGTGGTAGTCCCTGCCTGGCTGGATCTTTTGGAGCCTCGTGAAGCCTTCCCTGGATCTCGTCTGCGGCCTCAAAGACAGTGACTTCCACGCTCCAGATGCCCGAGCTCCACTTCAGCTAATTAGGATCCAGCAGGTAAGGAAGACTGACCTCCGGGACTATACCTACCATGCGCATCGGTCTTTGGTTTTCGTCTACTCTCTTCACCCCTGCACTCCTACCTCGCCTGTTCTGTTTCCTGAAGGTGACTTTACTTGTCATATCAGCAAAGCTGACAAGGTAAACCCGGTCCTCCCCGTTAGCTGTTAAAGACTCTGATATTTGTTACTGTGTACACCATGAGCTCTCGACAGTAGCTCCACAGCTGCAGCAGGTCCGGACCTTTACATACGGACTGTTTAGTCTTTATTATCTGTTCTAGTTTGTTTCACTCAGGAGTTTATTTCCCACTTGTTAATTGGAAAGTAGGGAGTGTACCCCCTCCTCTGACTCCCCTACATTAGTTAACATCTGTATGCTGCTATGCGCCCTTTGGGTGCGATGTCCTGGGGGGCCAGACAGGGGAGGTTATCTCCGGAATCTCCCTATGCTGTTCCATGGTTTATATGATAGTTTATTGCTTATAAGATGGGCTACCGTATAGATATGGCTATTAGGTCCAATATTTTAGGTACTCCAGATGTTCTATTTTGAATATTGAACTGCTTTATTAATGTATTCATGTTCAGATGGTGCAGCGGACAGCTGTCCAGGTGGCTACCCAGTTCTCATCTAATGCGATCCGTCTTTATTCTTGAGCGGGATATTGTTCTCTGCTGCCAGACACATTCTTTTGCGGGATGGGAGTCTGGGGCTACTGGAGACAGCGTCCGCTTGTGGCCTGGGACTCTCTTGCTCTCTGCCTACCCCCCCTCCCCCATCCTCTCTTCATCTCCTCACCCCCATATCTTCCTCTCTTCATCTCCTCACCCCCCATATCTTCCTCTCTTCATCTCCTCGCCCCCATATCTTCCTCTCTTCATCTCCTCGCCCCCATACCTTCCTGTCTTCCCTCTTCCCATCTTCCTCTCTTCCCTCCTCCGCATCCATCCTCTTCTTCTTCCCACCCATCCTCTTCTTCTCCCCACCCTCTTTCCCTTACGTTCCCCTCCTCGTCCCCTTCCCCCCACCTTCCTCTGCCCTTTCCATCCCTGGCACTACCTTCTTCATCCTCTCCTCAGTACACTGTCATGGTTGACCACTTCCCCAATATAAATGCTTCTCCCTCTCTTGGGGGCTCCATACGGGGCGTTTCGCCACCCCAGGATCTACTTCGCAGATGAGGCCCATGTGTCACGCCCAGCCTGTTTCTTCTTCTCTTCATATTTCTTTCTTTCTCCTCTGTGCTTTCTTAACTCGTTCTTCTACTCCCATACCTTCTCTCTTGTCCCTCCTTTTTTTTTTTTTTTTTCCCTTCATCAGCTCACTATGCCCAAGGTCACTTTCATGACATACAATGTGAAGGCTTTTAATAGTCTGGAGAAACAGAATAAGTTAAGTAAACTAGGGAGCCAGAGATCTCACATTGTTTGTTTTCCTCCAGGAGACCCATTTCCGCAAGGATAAAATTCCGAAATTGGGGAATTTTTGATTCCCTATGACATACCACAGTGCCTCCTTTTCCTCTAAGTCTAGGGGTGCGTCGATTCTTATTTCAAAACAAGTACAGTGGGTCGATTTCTTTTGATCAGCGGTGACCTTTGTGGGTAGAGAGTCACTTTGGTCACCTACCATTGGTAGGTACCCAATGAGGATCCAGTATCCTCGTTGGCATCCTATCTCACTGGTGGACCAACATTGTGAGAGGAAATTGATACTGTAAGGAGACTGTAACATGGCCCTAGACCCACTACAGGATGTATTGAGAGGAGCTTCGCATCTTCCCTATTCCAAATTATGCCCGGCGAGGTTGCTCCACCCTCATGATAGGGAGTTTACATTCTACTCCCCTAATCATAAAATATATAGCAGGATTGACTATATATATTTATTACACAAAGTTCTCTTCCAGTTATTTCCTCTGCCACCATTGGTTCTTTTACGATATCGGACCACGCTCCTACCCACTGCTCTCTGGAACTGGGTAAGGGAGTCCACCAGACCTGGCACTGGAAGCTTAATGAATCTCCTGCATGACATGACTTATAAGGGGCGGATTACGCAGGAACTGGACTCTTCATTTATGACCAACACCACTGAAGAAGTGTCCCGTTCTGTCTTTGGGAGGCTCATAAATGCGTTCTTCGAGGTGATCTCATCAGCCTAAGAACCCACAAAAAGAAAACCCTTGCCTCTCAGACAGAATCTTTACTGACTAAAATACAAGCATTAGAGCGAATACATAAGAAATCTCAAGCTTAGTGGGTTGAGGAGCAGCTCCAGACTTTGAGGGATAATTTGAATTCCTGATCAGGCTAAAGCAAAACTTGCTCGGGTGCGGAGGGCCTTTTATGAATACTGAAACAAACCCAGTAGACTCTTAGCCAATGCCCTTAGAACTGCCAAAGCAAAAACATATTTCGAACATAAAATCCATTGGAAACACCATCCTTTCTTCCTCATCGGAGATTGCTCGGGTATTTCAGAAATACTATACCTCCCTATATAATCTGACAGAGGGCTCTTTACCATTCTCTCAACTGGACAGACAGGAGGCATCTCGGGACTCCAGGATGTCCACCTTGTCGGAGAAGGCATTTGACAGGGTCTCATGGCCATTCTTGAAGGCAGCTATGGAACATATTGGAATGGGAGAGGGAATGCTGCCGTGGATCTCTGCACTCTACTCCACCTCATGAGCACGGGTCAGGGTTAATGAGTTGTTATCTCATGCGTTCCCCATACGAAATGAAACCAGCAGGGATGCCCTTTGTCACCCCTGATCTTCGTACTAACGACGTAACCCTTCTTGAAGACAATCAGGGCTCGATCAGATATTAAGGGTATCACAGCCAAGGGTAAGGAATTGGCCGATTATGCAGGCGACGTAATCTTCTTTGTGATGGCACCAGGTCTCCTTGTTACCGTCCATGATGCAAGAACTTGGACCCTACAAATCTCTCTCAAACTTTGAGGTAAACTATTACAAATCAGAGGCCATGGCTATTTCTATGGACCACTCTTTCCAGCAACAAATTGAATCTCAGTTCCACTTTAAGTGGACTTCTTCTCATACTAGATACCTGGGATCGAATATTCCTAGGGAATTTGAACTCAACTTTGCCCCATTAATTAAAACGATTAAGTCAGACCTACTGCGCTGGGACAGAGAGGTCTTCTGGTTCAGGCGTATCACTATTTTAAAGTTGAACATTATGTCTGAATTGACTTTTGTCTTTTTTCAGCCAGACTAACTATGTAACTATGCTGAGGCTTAACTATCTTCTTCAAACCCTCCTGATATGACTACCACCCAGTTTCCTGCCAAGGTTGAGGTCTACTTTCTTGAAATTTGTTTGGGCAGGCAAACCAGTGCAACTCCTGAGGACTATCCTCACCTTGCCCAAAGCCAGAGGAGGAGCTTTTTCCTACTGTTTGCTAAAACTGCGGCATGCCTGGTATGGGCAGGGGTAAAATTACAGTTTTTCCTTCACAGAGATTGTAAGACTCTACAGTGACTTTAAAACTATTGGTGTAGGGAATCTCCCCTCTGCCCTACATATGCAGCAGGATGTATGGAAACCAAACCCCTACCCAATACCTCATGTTATTCAGATATTGGCAGCAAACAGCTGCAATCCAGATATCATTTATTCCTGTTTTTCTTTCCCCCTTAGGTTTACTCAATTTAGCAACAGATGTAATTTTTGTAACAGCCTTTAATTTCCATAGTTAGACATTTTCATTATTTCCAAACTACATTATTTTTTTTTTTTTTTTAAATGGCCATTTATATTTGTATATTCATTTGCTTCTTAATAGATGCTGGTGGTCTTCAAGTCTGCACCCATCCTAAAACGAGCCCTTAAAGTTAAGCAAGCCATGATGCAGCTATATGTACTCAAATTGCTAAAAGTGCAAACCAAATACCTTGGGAGACAGTGGAGAAAAAGCAACATGAAAACTATGTCAGCCATCTACCAGAAAGTCCGACATCGTCTTAATGATGACTGGGCATATGGGAATGGTATGAAGCCTCAGAGCTTGAATATTTGTGTGTGTTTTACGTCAACTCACAAACTATGCATGACATTATATGTATTTACTTTTGCCTATAGATCTTGATGCTCGTCCCTGGGATTTTCAAGCTGAGGAATGTGCACTTAGAGCCAATATTGAGCGGTTCAACTCTCGACGTTATGATCGGACTCACAAGAATCCTGACTTCCTACCTGTTGACAACTGCCTTCAAAGTGTGCTCGGACAACATGTAGAATTGCCAGAAGACTTTCAGATGAACTATGATCTTTGGCTAGAGAGAGAAGTTTTTTCAAAGCCCATATTATGGGAAGAGTTATTACAATAAAACATGCAACCCAGCACCTGCACAAGTGATAAATAACTTAATCTCAACATATCTAGAATACTGCTATGGCTAAAATGTTTGTGCCCTTTGGCACACATCTTTGATCATTCTAACTAAGCACACCTACTTGCCATTGTTCCTGAAATCAACCTGAAAAGGTTGCATTGTAATTTTAAATTGGGTTACCTATCAATTAATCTGTGTTCAATATTCATATTCAAGGCCCTCTACTCTCCAGCCTTTTATCCTTTTGCAGAGTAATTGAACTTTGACTTGTGTGTCTTGTGAAAGGCACTACAGTGCTTAGATTATGGGTACAGCAAAGTGTATATGTAGACAGAGATCACATTCCATACTTGGGTCTTACTCTTGGCTTTGGACCAAATGTCCAAGAAGAGTGGTAATGCATAATATATTCTCCAAATTTTTGTGTGTGTTTTTGGAGGATGGAAAGGGATTAAAAGTGTTTTCATAATTATTCAAGTATATTCATACAATTGTTTTCTTCAATTTTTTTGTGCCTTGTGGATTTCTTGCTTTTTTTTTTTTTTTTTACAAAGGGAGAGGAGCAATCGGTGTGCATTCCAACCAAAAAATAAAATTTACTAATCCCCTAAGCATTATTTGCAGTTGTACAATTGCATAGAATGGAACTTTATTAAAATGGACAGTTTCTTAGATGCAGATTTTTCAACAAAAATACAGGTATATACTTTGATATAATTCTTCCAGTATGGTATTGTACATCTAAGTATTAGGCTCCAAAAGTCACATTTTGTTGTAATTCACTAAACACTGCAGATTACATGATCATTGGGTATATTTCCGTTCAATAGATTGTTATTGAAAAATTTTTGCAATTAGAAGATACAGTTGCAACTGCAGTCATGTATGCAGGTAGAAGTATAAAATCAATGACAGACAATTCAGGTGCAGTCATGCGTAAATTAGTAAAACCGTAACAAGTTTTGATAAAACTCATATGTCAGAAGATACACAGATCATGTCATAACAATGATATAATGTGGATAAAAGGAGAAAAACCATATGCTATATGTTATAGACATGAAGCTACGCATTGATAAAGATGTCTGTGTATAAAATTGACTGAGCAAAGGCTCAAATAGACGAATATATAAGAATAAACTATAACTAATCCCTGCCAAGAAGAGGAAAGGAAAATGAGAAGAAAAAGAAGGGGGGGTAAAGAAGATAAAGGAGCACGAGGAAGAAATATAGAGGAGGACATCAAGAGCGCCTGAGCTGTAGGCTCTTTGTATTTATAGCAACATGAAACTGGCCATTGATATAGAAGGATGGGCATGTTGGATCCACGGTGTTCATATTGTAAGGAATTTCTCATGGGTATCTAAAAGAATGCTGGAGACAAGAAAGAAATCTAGTCGGCGGTGAACTTCTGTGAAAGGTGTGAACTGTTGTTTCCAAACTTTAGGTTTGCTGCCAGTAATACGTAGGTAGCCAGTTTACATTGGTGTTTGGTGGGGCACAGGGGTCTCAAGTGCAGAAGGACATGCCACAGGTCCCTTGGGAAGGGACAGGTAAAAAAAAAAAAATATTGTTCGAGTTTAAGTACCTTTGTCCAAAACCAGGAGAGCATAAGACATGTGGACATGGAGGACATCTCCTGGGGTATGAAACAAGTGTCGGTGGCTGATGTGTGAAGGTGTGCCAGGCGGGATGGAACCAGATAGTGAGAATGTTGATAGAGAAGGAAGTCAAGGTAGTCCAAATTTGTGCCCAGCAAACCCTATCTTTAGTCCCATTCCCACCCAGAAACATAAATTTGATTGGATTGTGAGGTTATTCAGCTGTGAATAAAGAATCAATATAACCTCGGGGGGAAAAGGAGTCCGATGACAAATCTGTTCGGATAAGCACAGTTGAGTTGCCAGGTCTCTATCAATGAGCACCGTGGTCAGCCAGTGTTTTATTTGTAGAAATCAGAAAAGTTCAGTGTGAGGAACATGTGCAGCTTACCACCCAAGGCTCTGTTCTATCAGCAGATGGATTGGGGACAGTAGAAAAAGAGAAGACAGGATCAAACCTCCTTTTTACACAGTGCAGAGGAATAACCCCTTAGGTTCCACAGTGAGTATAACTGTCACAAGTTAGCCTGCAGTTTCTTGTTTGTGTATTGCTGCAGTGCTGATCCCGATCCCTTTCACGTGTGGTTTGTCTGTTCTCACCTATGGGCGTCGTCTGCTGTTCTCTGGGTATTATTTCCTTCCCTTCCATCACTTCCTGGCCCGCCTCCTTGTTGCCTGCCTATATAAGACATGCTCAGTCTAGGCCACTTTGCCTGAGCAACTTCTTAGTTGTCTGAGCTCCTGTGTGTTGCTAACTCCTGTATCCTGCATTTGACTACTCTTGTACCGACCCTGGCTTTGTTCACTGACAGTGATGTTTTACGCCCGTCCTGACCTCGGCTAGTCTATCGGAATTCCGTTTGTCTCCTCCCATTTTACTCTGCTCCCGCTAGAGGTCTCCACATCCTCAGCTGGGCATACGTGGGGGTGATCTGGTCCCAGCTTGCTGCAAGTCCATCCCCACCATCAGGGGCTCTGGTGAAGAAGCAGGCTGGGGTTTAGACTCTGCGCCCTGGGGAACCCCAAGTTGACTATCTACAAGGGCTCACTACCACAGGTGCTTGACAGTTTGCTCAGGCCATGAGCTCCTCACAGACACTGCAGCCTCTCCTGGAACAACTTCAGTGTTTGGCGCAGAGAGTCGATGTCCAGCAGGCCTACCAAGAATAAATTATGCACTGTCTGCAGGAACTCTCCTCCCAGTTGGATCAACTGCAGGTTGTATCCACTTCCTCACCCTCTGTTTCGGCTTCTGTTCCAGTTCGTGCTGCTCCAACCCCCACTGTTCCCCCAGTGAAACACAGTCCTTCGAAACTCCAGCTGCCTCAACTGCCTCACTTCTCTGGTGATCTCAAAGCTTGTCGAGGCTTCATCAATCACTGCTCAATTCACTTTCAACTAGCAGCCAACCATTTTCCTGCTGACCATTCCAAGGTAGCATACATGATTTCCCTCCTTTCTGGTGAAGCACTGGCTTGGGCCTCACCACTGTGGGAGCATCAAGATCCTACTATTTCCATTTTCCCAGCCTTCCAGCAAGCTTTCCGTAAAAACCTTCAATGTGCCGGCAGGACTTCATCTGCTGTGGGAGCCCTTCTTCGGCTTTGTCAAGGTAGCATGACTGTTGGTCAGTATGCGGTTCAGTTTTGCACCTTCCAGCTTCGGAACTGGCATGGAATAATGAGGCCCTTTCTGCAACCTTTTGGCAAGGTCTAGCGGACCGTATTAAAGACAAACTAGCTGGAACAACCATACCCACCACCCTGGATGACTTTATTGCTCTTAGCATCCAAATCAATGTCTGCTTCTAGAAGCAAGATCTGGAAAGGTCTGGTCCACGTCGCCCCAAAGTGGGTTCGTTCGGTCCTGTTTTCCAAAAATCCCTGATCGATATACCTTTGGAACTGTACCGACATCTGAAGAACCTATGCAGTTAGGCCAAACACACCTCACTCCACAAGAGTGATCGCATCGCCTAAGATTTGGTCTATGCCTTTACTTCTTTGGTCTGTCCAGGAAACTCGGGTCTAGGTCACTCTGAGGGTGGTGATCTAGACCAGAACCTGAACTCCACCACCTTCCCTCGATTTATTATACCTGTCTCCATCCATTGGGCCCTGAACTCGTATCAGGTTTCTACTTATGTGGACTCTGGGGCAGCCAGGAATTTCATTGAGCAATCATTGGCCGCTGAATTGGGCATTCCTCTTGTCCCCTTGATGACACCCCTGTCAGTATCTGCAGTTGATGGCTCTACCTTGGCCTTAGGACCTCTATGCTTGTGAACTAACTGCATAACTATGTATGTGGGTCTTCTTCATCCTGAGAAAATCTCCTTCCTGATCCTCCCTAAGTCTTTAAGTCCCATCATTCTTGGACTTCCATGGTTGCAGAAACACCCTATCTTGACTGGAACTCTGGCCAAGTATTGTCATGGGGTTACAATGCCATCGAACTTGTCTCCCTAAAGTGCTTCCACCTCTTTGTGTACCCGTCGCTAAGGTCACCACCTCTCCGATGCTCTCTCCGCATTATCAGGCCTTCCAAGACGTCTTTTGTAAGATAGCTGCTGACTGTTTGCCTCCTCACCATCTCTATGATTGTGCTATAGACCTCCAACCTGGGACTTCTCCACCTCGAGGTAAAGTTTGCCCTGAGACTGACCGTATGGTACTGTCACGTACCTGGATAGTGAGCCTGACGTGAAGAGGCAGGCCTCCTGTACAACTCTGGGTCAAGGACCCACTGATGGCGAGACAGCGGTCGCAGGGGCACGGTGGGGTATGAGTGCCTGTAATCAGTCCAGTAACAGCTGATGAGTTGTAGGCAGGGAGCAGGGTTCTGATGTAGCTGTGCTGGATGGATGGATACTTGAGAGCTGTGTGCTGAGGATGCAGGGTCAGACGAGCCAGGTTCAGTATCGGTCAGGCAGATCAGACTTACAGTGGCAGGAGGAAGAGTAGTCAGGTCACAGGCCAGGTCAGCAACGGAAGCTCAATCCGGAGCGGAGACAGAAGAATAATCCAAGACAAGCCAGAGGTCAGGGCAGGAAGCAATCAAGCGGAGATCAGGAACAGGCTGGTTCCGTATCAGGAGACAATCACAGGAATCAGGGAACACGAGCAGGGAAAAGACCATATGGCAATGGGGCAACTATTGCAGCCAGTTTAAATAGCCCTTTTAGTGCCAGCATTAGTGACAGGCGTGCGCCCGTATTAGCGGGTCACTTCGGGGTCTCCAAAACAGTAGAGTTCTGGTGGCCAGATATGGTAAAAGACTGTAAAGCCTATGTAAAGGTGTGCACCGTCTGTACCCGAAATAAAAGCACCCGAAATAAAGCCTGGGGATTGCTCAGACCTCTGCCTGTACCTGATAGACCATGGAAGATGATTT